GAAATATACTCTAAAATATAATAATATAACATAACCAAATTTCAAATAAACCGCCAACGTTGAATATGTTTCTATACAAAATTATTGCGTACAATATTTTTGTCATTGTACTTTTTGTGAACACTGGKGGCACTTTAGCTCAAATTACCGTACTCTCCATAAGAGCCAATGTAAAATAATTATCGGTGTCCATTCTGATTTCACCTATTCTGTGGTGGATATAGTGTGGAATGGTCCCTACTCCCTATTAGTGCGTGCGTTCTCTTGGGAATTTGCGATATTAAAAGAAATATAATATAATATATTATATACCTGGTAATATCTTTTATCTATGGCTTATTGGCTAAATACACGAAAAAAGAAATACTAAAAATAGTATTTAGCCATGATTATAATATTAATAAAGTTCAATAGTACGTAAATATTCCACTACTGTTATCAAGCGCTGCAGATTGTTCTCATCGTGACAGTATCATGTCTGATATGCTTATTGGGCGTCTTAATCTGTAAATTACAGACTGTAATCATCTATTCTTTAATCGTGCTATGTTATACTCCTATACTGCAAGCAGCTATACACGAAGTCACGAAATAGATAAACATACGATTACACCTCTTAAAATGCCGAGCTGTTAATTTTTTATTTTTGTCACTTAAGCATCTAGATTCTTGGTTTTTCCGTTTTTATTCATTTTACTTCTACAGTTTGCAGGCCTGTTGCCTGTTGGTTGTAACTTAGCTCTTGAGTTCTAGAATCTTGTATCTTCGTATCTGGCATCTGCAGTATCTGCGAAATGCATACCTTCATTGTTCCACAAGTTTATTGACCATTTTTTTTCATTCTTCCTTCTGCAAAGTTCTATACTTCAGTCGTTAGTCGTTACTCGTTCAGTGATTAGACCACCGTTGTAATAACGCACTAACGCCTTACGTAGTGTTAATCCTAAACTATTCACCTTGAATATTCCCTTACGGACGCTAGTTAAGCCAGTTCATTGTCTTGACTACCCGTTTAATACACCAAATATTAGATAGGTACTATAGTGCATATTAATTATTTGAATAAATTAAAACAACAAAATAACCAAACATGTCAGACGATTTTATTACATTCAACGTTCGCTTTGAAAAAAAATTATTTGAACTTAAAATAAAAACTCCTAAAAATGTATCTGGATTCATCGAAAAGCTGGTAAATAAATAGTTTTTACTTATTTTAACAATTATACTATTAACTAACAAATATTATAATTTTACCGATTGATTTTATCATTTTTATTAGCGTCTCACATAGGTTTTAAGTAACTATTAGGTATAAGTAGCTCAAAAATTGAAAAATGCAATTACATTGATATTTTTAATTATTTTATAGAAAGATGAATTAAATTTGGAGAAAACAGATGAATTAGTGATATTATGTCCAACACCCGACGGAAAGATGGTAAGATTATTTTAATGCATCTGATATTCTACCTAATCCATTATTGTTAATTAACTCTAACTATTACTTTAAAATATGACTTGGCACCTTATTTTAATATGGGGATTTCCATTGAATATGTTGTAAATAAGAAAAAAAGAAGCGAATATGTATTGGAATTTGCACAATTAAACATTTAAACAAGGGGGGCTTAAGCTCCAGGTTTTTTCTAAATTATTTTACCCTAACTTTTTAAACAATTTTTTTGGGTGCCTAAGACCTAAAGCACTTCCCTCCTACATGCATACACACCAATCATTGCACTAATGCGTTTATGTGACAAAATTATCAGCAGTGTTAGGTGTTGATGCATCATTTTTTTTTTTATTATTTAATTCCTTTTTACATATTTTGTGTTTAATTTTATAAATGTACCTAGTGTTATATTCAAATTTATTTCTTGGAAACATTTTTTTTTTTACAGATGGAAATCCAATCAGATGACAATATTGAATTTTTAAAGGTAAAGTTGATAATTTCGTATTAGGTGAGGTATGAAAGTAATTATTGGTGTCTTAAAATTTTAAATTTAAATAAATGTCCCAGTTAGTTTACTTTTGTACTTTTTCTTACTGTAACTGAATAGTGAATACTAGATTGACATCAGATTTACTTACCTAAAAAGAAAATAAAGTAAATAATTTTTAAATTTAATAGAGCTTAAAAAAATATTGTATCTTCTGTTAATTTTATGATATAATGTTAGAAAAATTCAGCATAGCTTATTTCCGAAAGTAGATTTTATGATAGATTGAATTAACTTATCATAAAATTTGTAGGTAAGAACATTATCTGTGTTTTGATAATTTAACAACTTGTAAGTGTTTTTAAATTGTGATGTTTAATATACTCATAACTACTTAAAAAATTGAATTATCATAAAGAAGTAATTAAAAATGTATGAAACATAATGTTTATAGGTTTAAGTTTACCAATAGGTAAATTTGCTTTAGCAAAAAATTAACAAATCTATTTTATGATTTTGAATGATCTTTGAGTACTATCATCCATTTTAAGGATTATCAGGAAAAATTGTGATGGTCATCAGTGTGATCAGACATCAGTTTGTCAAAATACTTACTCTCTGAAAATAATTGACAATCCATTTAAATTTGTATTGTTATTACTATTCACGTCAAGCAGAGACGTGTTTAACTACGGGCAAGAGGGGCATTTGTATACTAATTTTTCTTACATTTTTTTGGTGGAAGAGAGGTTATTAGGTTGCAAAATATATGTGTCTCCGGCAGCATTACTCCTTAACACAAGACTGACGTCATGTATAAAATAAAATAATAATAATTATAAAATCTAAAATTTGTCAAACCCTCAAAACTACTTTAGTTTATAGTTTTTATTAGGCATGACTAAACGGATAGGTATGAATGTATGATCAAACTTTTACTGAAATGCACATTCCTGTTATGACCAAATTTATTACTTAATTCCCAGCTTTTCATTGGTTAGGTCACTAATTATTTTATCTTATGGCATTTTAATTAATGACTTGACTACTTGAATGTTAGGTGTACCGTTATGACTGATATGTGTTATGGTATAGGACTTACGTATAAAGTATTGGTATCAAAATTATGATGATCAATGTAATAATGTGAACTACAGTAGCAGTAGGTGGTAGTGCTCTATGTATGAATGATAACTCATACCAATGTTTTTCAGACCTATCTATTGAGTCTAACTTTATTTTTAGAYTACTCAAAAAGCCATAATAAACCATTTTAAATTAATGCTATATCTATGTTGAGCGTAGATCTAAGAGAGAAAAATAGACAGTATTATACTGTTATCCTCTTAAAGTATAGAATCTAAGCTATGCTACTATTAATTTTATAAAATATACGTTTTTATTTGAAAGTTGTTTAACCCTTTATAAAGATCATCCAACTATTTACATTTTTATTTTATCAGTTTTTGATAATAATTTTTAATAGTGTTATAGACTTAATTATTTACTTAATAACAGTATTTATCAATTATAGAAAACAAAACTTGCCTATAATGCAGTAACCAAAGAAATTTATTGCAATGTGGAACTTGTGGTAACTGTTATTCATGAACTGCCTGATGACACAAAAGCTCAATTCATGGTAGCATTAACATTCATTTTATGAATTTATGAAAACATTAATCATATTTTGTATTTCAGCTGTTATCAAATAAAATTGACAAATTAACAATTAAAATTGATGAATTATCAGATAAATTTATCCAAACAATTGAAGAAAATAAAACCAGTACATTTTCAAGTATTAGGTATTTAAAAATGTATTTAATTTTTTTAAATAGCGTACTCATTAAAATATTGCATTTATATATAAATAGGTCGATTTTGGCAGAGGGCTTACAGACAGCTTCTGTGAACAAATCAAAGAATAATTCCTTAGGTAAGTTTAAATTTAAAAATTGTAATAAGATATAAATTTCAAATAAACAATAGTTTCTATAAACCATATATTTTGATTTAGGCGAAGAAGACCTAGATATAAAGGTCAATCTTGGTCAGCGCCAAAAAAAAACCAAGAAGGACAAGGAAAAATTGTCATCAACAACTGTAGCAACTAATGATGTAAAGTTAAAATATAATTCCCATGATAACTAATAATCAAAAATATAAAGAAATATTTTATTAAATATTTACAGAATTCATCAAACTCACCTGAAAACTTAAAATCGGATACACCCACATCTGTCCCACGAATTATACGTAAAGATATTGATGTTTTATTAGAGATGTTAGTAGCAGATGGATATACCAACACTATTCAGAATATTATAGTACTTAAAAGATTTGATAATGATTATGAAAAAGCCAAAAATTATTTGAAGTCATCTTCAACTTAACATTGACTATTATAATTGTTGTTAAAATTTCAATTTTTTTCATAATAAGTTTTACTTTTTGATAATCATATACTTTAAAGTTATTACACTTTGTTATTATTTTCCCTTTTCCGATTTAGTTATTTATTTATATAAAGAAAATCCCGCATGTTCTGATTTTCAAATCTCGGCTGTGGGTTGGCGACCTATACCAGCCTCGTCAATGTACACTCCACGCCGAATCTGGGTATGGCCTCGTGCGAGTTGTTACAACATATTTTGTATTGTTTTATATTTTATAATATGTACATATTTGGTATAATCTTTATTAATATTATCATTGATTATAAATAGTATTTATAATCAATGATATTATACACATACATTGTACATTATACATACCTACAGTGTTTGATACTCATGGTTATCATTTATACGTAAGTATTGCAAAATGCAATTTATAGCTGGATATCTCGCCATCTTGGACTTTATAAATTCAATAGGCAATTAGCGTTATCGTAATCGGCGATAATGTAATTGGTCGTAATCCGTGGTTTTCACTGAACGACCTAATTGCGTTCCTTATCAACGTTGTTTCGTAGTATGAATGTATGTATTTTTGTCCGTTATGAAATTGTTGGATTRAATATTAGTGTCCGTGTCCGTTATAGACAGGTCAAAATAAAATACATTAGAATGCCTATCTTTTTGCAGGGACCTGGTCATTTTGTCCGTTAAGTCATAGGTTTCACTGTACAATGATGCGTGTTTTATTTTATTTTTGTGTGTTTAAGGACAAAATTTCTACCAGTAAAAGTGCTTCGATTTTCACAAATACCACTTTTTTTGAAAGGAAAGTGAATCTAGTTGAGGGGGTCAAAAGTGATAAATTTTCAATAGTTTTCAAAGAAGCACAGAAAAACCCTAAAAAAGTAACAGAAAAACGGAATTTTTTACGCAAACCCAGATTTCGATCAATTATTTTATTTTACAGCTGTAACTCTAAATACATGAAATTTTCGGTAAACGGAAAAAAAGTCTCCAAATTAATATTTGATTTAAATTCAGTCTTTTATCATATTATAGGTATATTTATAATTTATATTAATTATAGCCCATAGCTAGGTCACATACATATTACATATTTTGTTGAAGATAATTAACATAGGTACAAAATAATATAATAATTAATAATATTATTTATTATTATTTATATTAAGATCACAATATCATTAAATATTTAATTAAAAAAGTATGAATATGGTAATCCAAAAATATGTAAAGTATATGAATATATGTACGATGTACCTATCTTTTTCTATTAGGTTTTAAAAAATATAATATATGAGCAGCTTGCTTTAAAGTATCATAGTTATCATAAGTTTGTCCGTCTATAGGTCTCACACACTGCAGCGGTAGCGGTTTTGGTGTCGGTGGCGGTGGCGGTTACGGCAAAATGAAACCGGACTCAATTGTCTCAATTTTACCGCCACCGCTGCGGTGTGTGGCGACTGGCGACCTTATGCCTTTTAAAATGCGATTTATATTTTTAACGTAAGTAAAAATAAGTAAGTTTTTTATTTTTTGATATATAAAAATTTTTTATTATGTTTTGGGCAGTATAAAGGAAAATCAATACTTTCAAACATTAATATAATGATATTGATATGATACCTATGTATATTATAAATATAATAAATTAATAACTGTTGTCCTATATCATAAGCAATTAAAAAACAAAGCAACATAAATAAAATATATATTTCAATATAACCATATATCTAATAGATTATTATAGAGATCTCTCGACTCTCGTGATCATTGGTATTTACAAGTTGCAATTCCCCAACAATCAAATTAATTTAATATGATATCTGTGCAATACCCTACTTTAAGTCTAGGTACCTATTAGTAATTACTTAATAGTAGAATAGAGTAATAATAGACAAAAAAGAGGCCACCAAAAAATGTCGAATGACTAGCCGAAAAAAAAAAGTACGGCTAAATATTTTGATAAATAATTTAAGGGGTCCTTACTCCTTATTTATCCGGGAACGGGGCTCCGAGCCAAGCCCACACTCAACATAATACATTTTACATGTCCAGGTTAGTATTAATTTATATATTTTATTATTTATATAATTTTATGTATTTTTTTTTAAATCGATTTAGCTATAATATTCTATTAGTCGTCCAAAATATTTATCGGCTAAAATACGGTTAGGTTAGGTTCGGCCATAATATTTGTCGGTTAAATTATCTTCGGATCAAATACTGTCGTCCAAGATATTATTCGGCTGAAATAATTCCTGGTCAAATATTTCCGGGCAAAATATTTGTYGGCTGAAATACTGTCTGCAAAATTATTTTCGGAATTTTTATAGCTCTCCACTATTGGCAATAGAAAGCTTATCAATTTTTGGGATGGCTCTGGAAAAATATATAAATGATACTCAGCAGACACGTTACAGCTTATCACTTTCTATCGTGTTATTACTGATAATAACAATAAACATGTGCTCCATGATTTGTGTGTTGTATGGCTTGTATCTAATATGTAATGTTCTATACTTGATATTTTAATATGTACTATGTAGTTCGTCTTCCTTTCCTATCTTAATAATATCTAATAAATTAATAGTGGGAAATAATTTTTAAATGAAATTTAAAATTTATACTTAATAGTAGTTAATAATTGACACCTGGACTGTAGTTAATGCAATTTTTGTTTAAATTTATAGATATTTATATATAGTTATATTTTTTCAGTTAAGAAAATGTGTAAATTCGAACGGATTAAGACAGTGTACGTGTCTTCAGCTGTAAACAGCTCACCGAATTGTTTAGATTGGGGTGTTAATGGATTAGTTATTTATGGTTCTTGTAACGCTATTCATTTGTATGATCCTCAAATAATGGTAAGTTAACTTAACAATAACTATAGCTTTTTTTCTCCCGTATCACAACACCAGGTTATTAAGCATAAAAGATTTTATTATTAAGTTATTTACTACCTAGTACATAGGTATGTAAACCTAGAGGCTTAACATAACCTTACGGACCTAAAAGCCAGAATTTAACCCATCTAATATTTTAGTTTTATGATGCAAGCAGGTATCAATATAAATGGCTCTTATGAATTATTTAATTATATAAATGGTCTTAGAAAATGTAAAAATGATATTTTAAGCGTGTATATAATTTATACATATATATATATATATATATTTGTTAACTTAAATTTCATTATTTATTAACTGTTGTTTGTGTAAATGCAATAGGTAACTTATTACATAAGCTTAATCATCAGAAAATAAAAAGTAAAAATAATATTAAATTTTACACTTATATTATTTCAGAATGAAAGTGATGGACTAGTTGTTTCTTCATTTGTTGCACATACAATGCGTGTAAATAGTGTTAAGTGGGTACAAAATGTAGATAGCTCTTGCCAACAAGATTTTGTTTCTTGTTCAACTGATCATACAGCTATATTATGGGAAGATATTTTACCTACAGGATCCTATAAAGCTTATGAAAAACTAATTGGTAATTTTTCTTAGAGTTAATTTACATAATCTGGTAAGTATGTAAGCAAATAAATCATTCCCGTCAAAAGGAAATTTTGTCTTTAGAAAATATTAATGTGGAAGTTTAAGTTTCTGGAAGCCATTATTAACTATAGACCATTTATTTGGCCCTCGTTCCTCAGTGTATATTGTTTGTTTGGCATGAGTCTCTGGTATCATAGATAAGTTTAATATTAGTTAATTATTTCTAGCTTAAACTTAAATTTTGAACAATTTTGAATTAATTAACAAATTTGATGTATTATAGTTAGTAATTAAATGTTATTGTAGAAATTACCTAACAATGATTTAAAAGATAAACTTATTTTCTTTACGGGTATACAATTGTGGATATAAATTGTGTTAGATTTCATAAGTATTGTAGTTGTAGAGCAAGAAAACAGTTTTATAGGGAAGAATTAACATGTTACTTAATGCTATAAAATAAAAAGTTTGACCAATATAATTTAAAATTTAAAAGTCTTGTAGCGGTTTTTGAAATTCTCTCAAATTTATAAATCATAGAAATTATACCTCAATAATAATACTTTTCTACAAATCTACTATTCGTTATGATCATATCTATTTTAGAAGGAAAACCCTCTCATCTTGTTGAAATGTCAGAGTTTAATCTAAAAGATGAGAACTTTTTTCATTTTACTTTCATTAGTACTTGTAAAATACATTGGAAAAATAACAAATATTGTGCATTATTCAATTGTATATTTTACTTTTATAATCATAATTTTAAAAATTGGTCTTTGATATAACCTGCAAAATATTTTCTTTTTTTAAATAAAAAAAAATTAACAAAATCTAACATTCGACAAATTATAGAACACCCCACTTCACTTTGTTTATGCCTGTGAGATTTTTTTCTTGTTAGACATGTTTTGTACTAAAAATTGACCTCACCGACATCCTTGAAGTAATTTTATGCGATTATCTAATTTATAGACATACAAATATATAGTTGAAACTATTATATTAGTCTTAAATCATGATTAAATGTAAACAATTTATATTTAGGACATTCTGATGTTGTTACAATAAATGATGCAATAAGACTTGAAAATCAAACACTTATTATAGTTACTGCTGCTGGTGATTGTACAGTTAAAGTTTGGAATAAACACAAAAATGAAAGTAAGTTTTTTATTTATATTATTTGAATATCTATACAGTACTAATTAAAATGTATTTGTCTGTAATTGAAAAAATGTATAATTAATTTAAGAGTTTTGAGCAAGAAATAGTGGATATTATATACTTATAAAGCATGCTAAAAATTCCAAATTTTGCTTTACAAGATGATTTTTTTAAAGTAAAACATTCATTTTCTCTAAAAGTATTACTTGAATTAAAAAAAATATTTTGCATGATTTTGAGTTATTACAAAAAAAAAAAACAAACAATTTTATGAAATTAAAATTTTTATTATTTTTATCATATTCTTAGTTTTTACTTTTTTCCAGAGTATTAATT